TCAAATGTAAACCTCTGCGTGTGGGTCATGATCCTCTTTTTCCTAAATGTGTGTACCATAATTCTGCCAGTGCCTAGAAAGAAGGGAATTGGGCAAGGTGAGGGTATTCACTGTTCCTGTTGAAAAACTCCTTTAGAAATTTTGAGTTGGTTTGGTTGGAGGGAAGGTGGAGCCCAAATGATTGAGACTCTGTCTTGGCATGGAAACAGCCCACCCTGAGAAGCAGGGCATTGGTTTCCTCCAGGCAGAACTGATTTTGCTATGACTGTGTGTGAGCTCTGTGAAACTGTGGACTTGGCAGATGTTTTAATTTGAGGATAAAGTACATAAGCAAGTTACAATGAGAAAAGCTTCCTGCGTGACCAGAGCCTACTGAAATCTTTGAGCAAGGGCCTTGAAGCTACCTTGATTTTATCAGGGGCTAGGGACACAAAGCTGCTGCTGAGGAACTGCTGTGCTGCGAACTCAAAACCTACTTGCCACTTGGAAAGTGTTTATATGCAACATCCTCATCAGGAGCCCACTCTTTTCGGGAAAGTCTGGAATGGTGTGCTTTACTTAACTGTGTACTTGACCCATAGAAAACTCTGAGACTTGAGCATGTTTTAATAAGTAAGACGGTCCAAAGTCAATCTGACATAATCTACATATGCCTATGTTGCCTCTGCTGTGTTATTAATAATATATGAGACCCTTGGAACAGCTGCAGATTCATATTCTGTCTCTTTTAGTGAAATCCAAAGACTGTTTCTTGCTGCAAGCTTCTTCTCAAAACTTTTTATTACCTCTCTGCCGCATTTGGACCACGCACAGAAAAAAAGGAAAAGAAAAGAAAAAAAATGTTTATGAGGTTTTATTCTGTTGCTGGTACTGACAGAAAGACCTGTGAAAATAAATGGACTTGTCCCTCTCTAGGGACCTCCAAACTCATCCTGCCTGGTCATTTTTTTGCAGGACCATAAGGTGCATTTACTAACAAACCTCAGGTCTCAAAACTGCCTCATCAGCCAGATGATGTGCTTTTGTGCCTTTAGCTAATAGCTTTTCTTGTAGCAGAGAGCAGAGCCTTGTTCAACAGAACTGTAGGTGGTGGTTGGATCTTTTCCTGAGCAGTGCAGCAAGATTTCAGTTGTCTGTGCTCACAGCCAGTGCAGAGCCACATGCACCACGCATGGTGAGATCTGCTGGCATGGCTCAGTGCCTCAGCTCCAGCTGCAGCAGCCCCAGATGCCTGGGGAAGGGGGTTATGGAGGCAGCAGAGAAGAGCCCTTTCCTGGGAGCTGCCCTCTAGATCCTAGGTACCAGTGGAGGACACCCGTACCCAATGTCTTAAGAGAGTGGAAATTTAAGATTAAAAAACCCTTTAGTTATCTGATGACACCAGAGTGCACAAGCTGCACAATCTCACATGAGTTTTTCAGATAACTCAATAGTGTATTTTTTTCCCTCTTACTTCCTTAAACACACAGTCACATCAGGGAGTTCTGAGCGCTGCTGTATATGCCCAAGAGGCATTCTGGAAGAAGTTTTAGCAGGAAGAACCACATTCCCATATACATATGATCCTCACCTCACATAACCCTTTATAAGCACCATTCCTCCTAACAAAGTTCTTACATAACCCACAATATTACAGGCAAGAGGGAAGGAAAATGTGGAAGGAAGGCTCTGTGGAGAGTAGGCAGTCTTTGCCTACCTTTGACATGTGTGTGAAGCTTTGAGGTGTCTCTTTTCAAAAGCTAGTGGTTTTGAGCTGCAAATTAATCTGCAGGTTAGTGTTTTGGTTGTCTTCTGCTACAGTTTGCACTGCAAGAAAACCCTGTTATTTAAAAATCATTCCCTCTCTGAAATTACCTACCCTTTAACTTTACTTTAAAAACATCAGCTGCATGCCTTGCATATCCAATTTTAGAAAAGCAGAAAGTGTCAATGGCGTAGTAAATATGAGGTGCTAAGATAATTCTGACATTATTAGTTCCTCACTGTGGAATCTATATTGTATGGTAATTGTTTTCCTTATCAGCTCTTAGAAATATTGAATTTAATCCACATAAAAAAAATTAATTTCTGTCCTGCCCAGTGGTGACAGATAGAAGTGATTATTCTTGGTATTCTGCCTCCCTTGCCTAACTTTGGAGTTAGCTCAACTTTTAACATGGTTGGGACTAAAGAGGAATCTTCTTTCCAACTTTAATTATTCTGTGTTTCACTCCTGCTGAAGGTACTAGATGCACCATTACTAAGTGATACAGGTGTTATTAGTGCTTTGGAGCCATCAGAAGAAATGCTGCAGTATTCTCTTGCCATGCCATGATACAGGCATGAAATGCAGAAAGATTTCAGTGCTTTGAACTAAAATCACAGATACAGAAGTATTATTTGAATAAATAACAGCAGCCAGCCCAAGCTCTATGCTGAAATAGGAGAAAGAATGGTAAAGTTTTATTTATTATTTGGCAAGCATAAAGATATTAAAGCTGCAATGAGAAAAGAGCATTCAGGCTTGGTCAGTGGCAGGTGCAACTAGATCTGTTTACAAAAGTGAGTTGCATGAAAGTAGTGTTATGTGGTTTTATTGGAGTAGTTGTGCTGTTTAAGTTCCTGTGTTTGCACAGGACTGGTTCACAGGCAGCCAGTTTTTACCCCAATTTGAGGGCAGAGGGAGGATATGAGGATGTTATCTCACAGCACTTCACCATTTAGATGCATAGGAGAGATTCCATCTCCTATAACTCAGGACTGTGGCTGGAAGTGAAGCTTTGCATTTTGGGTTGGTGAAGGAGGCTGAGTGTGTAATACTGAGCCCTGAAACCCTCTGTACACAAAGCAGGTATGGCAGAAGCTGCAGCACTAGTAGCAGCAATGTATGTCTGCTTCCAAGGTTATGAACTGCATCGTGGCATTGCACCGTGTTTTTCATGACAGCTCACATCATCCCTGAAGTCACACTCTGTGAACATATTTTCCATATTTTATTGCATACTGTCTCAGTGTGATGCTGGCAGTTCTGATAAAGAAGAGTGGCTTGAATGAGTCAGGGAGGCTGCATGATCTGGGAGCTGTAAATTGAACTAAATTACAGATTACTTTTCCTGTCATCTTTGCAGCATGGCTATGTTATGTGTAGTAGATATAATTCGCACCATATCTAATATGATATATGTGATATTGAATATTTGTTAGAGTATACATGTTTGTATTAGGATTCCCCCCCACCCTCGCAGGCGAGACCGGGTGTAGATTGGAAACTGATTTACAAGTAAAAAGGTACAGCTTGCCAGGAGATGGGCCATGTCTGGGGAGATACAGAAACCCCAGGTGCTGATAGTTCTCGTGAAAGACCTGAGATAGATATCATGGAAATTCTCAGGCAGATACATGTGAATACAGCGTTCCAGAATTCCCGTAAATTTCATCAAGGGATTCAACAAACTCTGAATTGTTCTCCCTCATCACCAAAAAAAGAGAATCTTATTAACATATGGACTCTGAATACAAGAAAAGACTGATTGCTGAAATCTTGGCCTCAGGCGGAACTTTCCCTATAAAAACAGCTTGTGCCAGGATGGAGGTGTGTGGGCATGGAGGAAAACCTCTGCTGAGGCTGACTCCTTGTCGCACACCCAGGGCCGACCCCGGGCTCGGCTCTGTTCTTTCCTTGTGGCTGGCTAGATAGAATTTGATTGCAAAATAAATACTTTATTTTTTCATATTAATTTTCATTTATAACAGCTATATATATTTATAACAGCTATATATATTTATAACATATATATATATATATATATATATATATATATATATATATATTCAGAAACATAATAAAGGCACCCCAGATCCTCAGACTTTGAAATGCAGGAAATATACATATATATATATATATAAAAGTAAATTTCCTACATTGTCAGTTACCATAAAAGTTTGAGGATTTGGGGTGCTTTCATTATATTTTTGAAATGAGATTACAGAGGCCTTGGTATTGTGGAGGACAAAGCTGCTGGAAGACTGCTTTGTAAGGGGTAAAGATATATCCTAGTCAACTTTTTAGCTCAGAGACATTATCTTCTTTCAGAATAATGTATGTATATTGTGAAAGCTGGAGTTAATCTGTCAAGTTTTCTTGCTATTAATGGTATTTTGTGTATCTCCATTCACTTGACGTTTTCTAAGTATTTTGATTGAGCCTTTTTAACCACCATTTTGAAAAACAGGAAAAGTTAAAACCATTTCCACAGTGGGTCCAGTGATCTCTTCAATGGCCACCAGTACCTCAGGGCTAGAAAGAGATTTTAGACTTCAGCATCTAGACTGGAGTTTAAAATCCTACTCCAGTCCTGGGAAAGCATACATTTTCCCAACCTTTCCCTTCCCTTTTCCTTCCTGCTACTCCTCTACAGACATGTTGGTTCAGCTTCTACTTTGTGTAGCTCTTATTATGTAAAAGGGAAGCTACTACTTAAGATACTGTGATACTGGGGAGCCGTTTCCTCCTTGGAAGTAGCTGTAGAAAATTCTGATATGATACCACCTGGAGTATTGCTGTGGAGAAAAAAAAAAGCTCTTGCTACAGTGTTATTTTTCCAAGTTAATATAAGGCTTTGAATTGCTTTTGTAATAGCTTCCTTCCAGCATATGTATTATTAAATTATGGATTAAATAATAGAAGCAAACAGGAAAAGCAAAACTTAAGTCACAAAATCTCTGAGGAAAAGGTAAGAAAGCTGCCCTGAAACATTAGTAATGAAACAACTTAAACAAATTTTCTCAGTTTGGGAGCCCATCTAGATGCCATGATAACTCTTTTCCTTCTATGAGTCTGAGATCTATTATTTTGAAAACTCAGTTTTCAGGTAATTAACAAACAACTGCTGCATAGATTAATCATCATTGCTAGATCAAAAAACACCCAAAAACTGCTCAAAAGCAACAGTCACAAACCTTTGTGACAAACCTTCCCCATCTTCCCTTCGAGTAGGGAAAAGTTGGATACTGGAAAAGAGCTGAGTCATGCAAGGGGAGGCATGACTCAGAGGGGTTTGTACAAACATCCTAGAATGGCTACCCAGAATTTTCTGGTGTTAAATAACCCAAGAAGCAATTGCCATCATTACAGACTTCCACAGACTCTCCACAGAAGTAATTTCAAATAGATTTACTAAGGGATATTTAACCCGTTCTGATACAGCCATTCTTCAAATATGGGCATGAGGAACCTGGTAACTTGACTATTACGTACATATTGTAAGAAGTCACGTACAATTTATGAGCAGAAATTGATGCTTTTTTCATTGCTGTTTTTCAGACCCATTAAAATTGAACAACCTCCTCTATGGTTTAATCCTAATCAAATTCAGGCTTTTGTCAGAGCAGAAGTATAATTGCTCCCCCCCAGCCTGCTCCACATACAAAAGCTCCACATGTAAAAGCTGCCCTGTTGTAATAACTCTTACCATTTGTGTTAAAAATTTAAATCCCTGAAGTTGTGATTACAGTGACCCTTCCAGGATCCTTAAAATAAGGAAAAGCCAAGTTGAGAAGTGTTTGCCATTGCAGTTTCACATGTCAGAACAGGGCATGGTACCTTTCCAATCATGTTGCTGCTAAAAGCAAGGTGGTTTATTTGAGTATTTTTTGCTAAAGTCTGTTCTTATTGCTGTAGTTGCTGTTACCACTATCTCTTTTAGCAAATAAGCTTGAGAGCCATACCAAATCTTTAGCTCCAGTCCTGTATTAAGCCTAGACAGTCAGGGTACAGTGTCTGAAGGTGAAGTTGCCAAAAGAAATTTTAAAAGATTTTAGGATACAGGAAATTCAGGGGACATTGATTCAGGAGAGAGCCAGATGCTTCAGGTTGAGTCAGTGTTGAAGCTCCTCACAGATTTGCAAGTAGCATTTTGCCACAACCTTTTTGTAAGTCAAGCTGAGTAACTTAATCCCCTTTTCATCACTCATACACACACCTGTGTATGTGGGCTTTAATATAAAAGTTTATGTTAAATAATAATATAATAGTTATATTTAGTCTTTGAGCTAAATTCACACCTGGCTATCTCTGTGCTTTTGTTGTTTCCCACCTGATACAGCTGAAGACCGTTCTTGGTAGAACAGTCATCACCAGATCAGCACAGACAGAAATGTTCTCAAACTTTATGACTCCTCCAGAAAGAGACTTTTTCGCCAGTGGTCTCATTAAACATTCGAGTACAATTGCTACTAAACTGAATACATAAGGAATTTTGTATATGATAAATTACCCTTTCTGTCGTTCAACTTGTTTTAAGTTTGGTCTCAAAATGTGTAGCTTCAGATGATTTTTGAAGCATTGAAAAAGTCTGCCAAGATAAAACAGAGAGGAAAAATGTTACATTTAAAAGTAGAATTTACAAAGACCATTCGAAGTATTATTGAGGTCCTTTTTATAATCTGAAAAGAGGTACAACAGAGGCCCCAGCCCCATTTTTTTAATTTTGAAAGTCCAAAACAAAGCCTGTTTCCATGTAAGGATTGGTTACTTTTATCTCAGTTAAAACCATGGGACACTGTTTAGAACTGGCAGACAGATGAAGCATTTTAAAAATCCATGGACTACTAACCCGGGGCTTAATGTGGTTTTCCAGGGGTGTGACTGTAGGCGTCTGACTGGGCAGTGTTAAGAGATCAGCTGTGATGCTTGTCATGCAAACTTTCTGTTATGGATGGGGAGTGGGTTTCACCTTCAGAGAATTTTGGTATCTTTAGAAAAGTTCCCACATGGCTTTCTCCAACATAGTCTGTGACCAACAGTTCATAGCATCACTGTGAAATGCTGGAGGGGAAGATCTGAACTAATCACTCATAATAACTCTGCACAGGCCCATGGGGTAAGTCTGAGGTCAGGGCTGAACTGATCTTTTATGTGAGAATGGCAGTAGCTGTAATTCACTTGGTGGTCATGGGAATGGGTTGAACCAAAGCCAGTTTTTTTCTGAGGTAGACAAGGGGAGAAAGAGCTGAAAATGTGACTTAGAAGTATCTTAGTTTTACATGCAAAGGACCCTATCTCTGCGTGACCTTTCAGGCCCCTGCAAAATGAATTCTGAGTAGGAACACTCAGAGATCATGGTATTTTATTCCAGTTTTGTTCTTTCTTTGTGTAGCCTTCTTTGTGTTGTTATGTGTAGTAGATATAAATCGTGCCATTTCTAATATGATATATGTGATATTGAATATTTGTTGGAGTAAACACGTTTGTATTAGGACTACCCCCCACCCTCGCATGTATGTTGAAACCCGATTTACACGTAAAAGGATGTGGCTTGGCCAGGAGATGGGCCATGTCTGGAGAGATGCGCTGATCATAGTGTGAACGACCCGAGATGGATATTATGTAAATCCTCGGGCAGATACACGTGAATGCAGCGTTCTGTAAACTTCAAGGGATTCATCAACTCCAGACATTGAATTGTTTTCCCTCATCACCAAAAAAGGAAATCTTATTAGCCTATGGACTCTGAATGCAAGAAAAGACTGATTGCTGAAATCTTGGCCTCAGGCGGAACTTTCCCTATAAAAACAGCTTGTGCCAGGATGGAGGTGTGTGGGCATGGAGGAAAACCTCTGCTGAGGCTGACTCCTTGTCGCACACCCAGGGCCGACCCCGGGCTCGGCTCTGTTCTTTCCTTGTGGCTGGCTAGATAGAATTTGATTGCAAAATGAATATTTTATTTTTTCATTTTAATTTGGCTGGACAAATTTTCATTTATAACAGTGTCAAAATAAAGTCTTGAGAGTTCATAATGATTTTGCTGTAAAGTCACTGAAGTCAGGTGCTGTCTGGCAGCCCATGTTATGTGGGAAATGAAATGAGATGCTTACTTGTTCCCTTTTGGCCGCGTGCTTTGTGAATTTGGATAGCTGGAGTGACACTGAAACCCAGCTCCCAGCACTGTCCATCCATTTTGAATTCTAGTCATGAGAAAGATTTTTCTTTACGATTTTGCTTTTGAGATGCTGCAGGTGGTGGGGTGAAGAAATGGGGAGAGAGGAGGAGAATATCTGGGGAAGGGGCTTCTGCACCCTGCCACTATAATTCATTCTGGATTTTCAGCCCTGCTCAGTCATCCATCAATCCTCATGTGACTGTCACCCCATATTATTGTAATTAGCAACTGCCAGCCTCAGAGATTTGACAGTGGAAGTGAAAAAGTCCCAGAAGCTCTCTGCCAATTTAAAATTAACTCTGTCATTACAGGACAGATTGTCCTCCTCCAGAAGTAGTTCCTTGGCATTTGCACTGAGATAATAGCATGGTCCTGCAGTGGTATCTGGCTCTTGACTCCCCCTGCTTTGTTGTCCTTGTGTCCTCCCAGCTCCCAGGCTGTTTCACCCTTCTTCCTACCTACACGCCACCCACTGGCTGTGGGTGTCTCAGCCAGGTGGATGAAAGCTAGGTCAGATCTGCTTTCTCATGCTACAAGTTCCTCACCTTTGCTTACAAATTTTCTCCAAGTGTGATTGGCAGCTGCTGTTGCCAAAGTCCCTATTTACATGGCATTTACAGATCTTGTTTCATTGTCTTTTAAGCAGGGGATGGCTGGAGGTCATCCTTGTTTTTACTTTCTTCAGCTAATTAGGTGCAACTCCTGCTCTGCTTCTGTACAAAGGTGACAGCACCGACAGCTCACTGGAAGGTTGCCTTCCACTGGGAAATATCTGGGGTTGCACACACAAAAAAAATTGGGATATGAAGTGTGAAAATATCTGATGCCCAAGCTCTGTGGTCATTCAATCTGTTCAAACAAACAGAACACAGTCAGGTAATGAAGGTCCTGATAGTCCTGCAGTTCAACAGCCCGGGGTCGGCCCTGGGTGTGCAACAAGGAGTCAGTGAGTGTGACAGGCAGGTTTGACATGGCCCAGGCTCAGATACAGTTCTGATAGAGTTTGCATATTATCAAAAAAGTGTTTACTTAACCCATTCTGCAGCATTCTGTCAAGGCACAGCTTTTTTTTTTTTTTACCCTTATGTTCACAAAAGCTGCCCCTGCAAATCCTTAAGGATAAAGTGATGCCCTTTTTTTGCAGTAGTTCTGCACTGCCATGATCAGTTCTGATCCATGGTGTACTTTTCTCCATCCCCTTGCTCTTGCAAGCAGTTACAAAGACCAGTATTGCTCCAAATTGTTTACAATTAATTTAACCTCTTTGGGAGGCTGGGCCAAAACAGCTCCTGCTCATCTCCACAGGAAGCGTAACTGAGAGCCCCTGAAAGATGACTTTGCTACCTACTCTATATATGCTTGAGCCATGAAGTTTCTGAGCCTCTCAAGCTTCAAACATTTGCCTTTGCGCCGCACAGTTTACTGAGCCTTATGCCAATCCACATGGCAGGGCATGTTTGTGTGAGCACTCCTGTGTTTTGGTGGTGTGCCTGACACCACACTAGACCCCAGCAGTAACTGTGCTCACTGAGAAGCAGGAAAGTGCCCACAAAGCTATTAAGCTTTTCTTATCACATTAAATTCCCATGGTTTGCCAACTACATCCACAGAATAATGTATCCTTTTCTTTGTGCTACATTCTAGCTTATTTTATTGCACTGAGGGCTCCAACAACTTTATTAGGGCAGCATGTTCCCCCTGTCTCTTCTCACCTTTAGTGCGTTTACAACTACTGCTCATCATGAGAAAAGGTTGCGTGGAGGAGTAGCCTTGAGAGTGCATAACCTTGGTGTCATGTGATTTATAGGCATAAATGAAGATAAAATACTTGCCAGTAAATGGAAAGATAGACATAGAAAGAACAAAAAAGAATCAACAGAACTCTAAAAAAATCTCTGGAAGCAAAGTTGTATGTTTGGGTTATTCATAAGGTGAGGAATGACAGGCAGTAGGGATTAGTCTGTGTTGTAACTCATGACTGCTTCAAGGGAATATGACAAGATTAAGGGAAATTTCTGCTCATCACTTAAATGCCCAACCACATTTTATCTCCTCACAATGCAATGTGTCAGCACTCATTGGTTTAGGAGCTCATGATTTAAGCTAACTGGAAATGCTTGTGGATCAGTCTTGCACTATGGAATTGAGCTGCTTCTGTAGCCATACCCAGCAACTCTTGCTGGTGAAGCATGAAAAATGGAAGAGTTTTCTTCAGCAGAGATGAGATACATGTCTCTGGCCATGAAATAAAGGCCAGAAGTTGCTATTCTGCTAAGCACGGAGGCAACGCCACACCATCCTTAAGTTGCAATGGGCACAGCATAGTTCAGGTTGGAAGACACCTCTGGAGGTTTCTGGATCAACCTCTTGTTAATATCAGGGTTGACTGAAGATATGGCCAGATTGCTCATAGCTTTATCCAGTCTTGAGTATCTCCAGGGATGGAGAATGCACAGGTTGTCATTTTTCCACCTGCAGACAGAAAACATGAGTTATACAAGTGTAATGTAATATCTTTGTGACCAGAGGAACTTGGTAACAGAATCAAAGCTGCTGTTACTCTTCTACTTGAGCACTCATTGCTCTGTAGCTCTCTTTATCACTATACCTTTCAAAGCATGACATTGAAAATAGTATATTTTTCACTTCAGGAGGCATGTCCTGTCTCTGTGCCATTAGAATGCTTAGTAACATGGATACAGCTGCATGCCACACATGCAATGAAAGTAAGAGTGTTTCCCAGCCTATATCAGACACATTTCCCAGCTCTCACCTCATTATTTTTATGATTAATCCAAACCCCAGCAATTAAAAGGAGTGCGCCAGTGTTCTTTCATGTCAGGAATGGGTTAGACTAATTGCCTTTGAAATTATCAGTATCCCTAGCCCAGTAGTACTGCAGCTCTCCAGATGGCAACCTTGCACTCGGTAAAAGAACTGTGTGAATTGCCTAAAACCCTTTTTATTTTGTTCTTCCAACAATATTATCATGTATTTAAATCTAATCTTCAGAATATCAACAGTTCAGCAGGAGTTGCTGGTTTAGTAAATCCTGGAATCCTGGGTTAATAAATCTTGACACACTGGGTTTAGTCATAGCTCAAGATAGCTCTGCCACTCTACTGCGCTGAATCCTTAAACAAATTACTTTGTCTCTTCATATTCTTGTTTGGCCTTCTGTTCATTTTTGGTATTTCTGGCCTAATGCTGTAAACTCAGTTGTTAAGTTACTGTCTCATTGTGGATTTGACATTTGATGTATTGCAGCCCCAAACAAATACCCAGCTATTAACTATTGTTGGTTGCTTCTTGCTCTCTATCTTTTCACAAGTGAACTCACAGTTTTGTGTTATTGTGGGAGAAGGTGGGGAAAAAAAACCTACCGACTATTCAGCAGAAAACAAAAAGCTGTTTCTTAGCAAGTGGATATATTAACTGCTATGAACCCATCTCTCTCAATATACAATTTCCTGACATTAACTGAATTTGACATTTACATTTGTTTTTATTTCTTCCAAGAGCCCTGTGTCATTTTTTCCTCATTTAAAGTGCTCTTGTACTCTGAAAAGTGTTTTTAATATTGGCACTATGGGGGCTCTCTATTTATTCTGTCAAGTTTACTCAGAGCAAAAACGTGGTTTGACAGCAAGAAACTCTCTCTCTCTGGCTTTTGGACTGTGATCTTTGGACTCTGGTGGAAAAGGCCTTTGCTACTCATAACACTTGCAGACCCAGATGTCAGAATCTTCCTGAACTGTGCAGAAGTGATGGAGAGTGATGAAGGTGAGCGTGACGCACAGTGCTGAGAATAGACTGTGCAGGAAAAGCAGAGACAGCAGGCTTCTCTCCCTTGTCCCTCTCTCGCTGCTACAGAGGACTTATGATGTTGTAAGAGGCTTTGCCATGAGTTGAATACAAAAAGAATTTCTCCCAGACTGTAGTACAATCAGCATTTTTGCTGCATTGTCTTCATTGCTTCGCTCCAGTAATCTAGTGAGCTGACTGGCAAAATCCAAGCTGCATGGAAGGATCCCTGCAGTGCTGCAGGCAAAAGAGTGCCCAAGCTGCAGCAATAATGAAATAATGTACCCTGTAAGTGCCCTTCACTTGGCCAGAAGATTCCCCGAGGAACAGCAAAATCCTGGAGAGGATGTTGCCAAAATTCCTTCTTGGGTGTCATCCACTGCAGGGGTAATTATTTGCATATAGTCACTGATCAGTGAATTCCCTGATACAGCCTCTGCCCTCCACACCAGAGAACTGCTGGCTGCTTTCATGCACAATACACAGATCCATATTCCTATAAACATGAGGCCAGGATGATGGGATCACTTATCTTTTCACCAAGATAAACCCAATCAGAAAAAGCAATTTCATTGCTGCATATACATCTCTTACCAGCTTACTCTATCCTTTACTTCTTTTGCTTGCAGTCTGAATATGAGGCTCTCAAGTAAGGATTATTAGGTGTTCACAGTGCTGAACACAATGAGATCCTGATCTTCCTTCATCAATCACTATCACAGTCACATCAGCATTTATTTGCTTACAGTGTGTTTTTTCAGTAGGAAGGTCTACTGGGACCTCAGTGGTAATAAGAAGAGAGTGCTGCTTTTCTCAGCCATGCCCCCTTTTAAGAATATAAATGGCATAGCTCTTTATGGCACCCAAAATGATATTTTTCCACAGATACCAGTGATTCTTTTTTGAGTTGGCTTTTTCCTTTTATGCCTAGTTGATACTTTTTTACACTGTATATTTAATAGCTTTCTGGCACTTTCCAAGTAAGAATCTTGAGGTACAGAAATACTGTATATATTTTACAGACATGGGAATCTGAGGAAAAGCATGGAAAGTTTACCTGTCATCAAGGTCGTGGACTGAGTTTATAACAAAACTGGCATTTTTAAAAACCCCAGCAGTTTGCCACCATTACTTTCCCTGTTTTTAGCCATTCCTATTCTCTGTACCTCCTCTCCCTCCTGTCTTCCTTTTCTGCTACCATTTTGACAATGTCATGCCCTCTCTTTCAGAAGGTCTTGTCCCTAAAAGTGGGATTTGTTTTCCATATCTCTTAATCTGGATCTGATACCCAAGCACTTCATACTCCATGTAGGGAGTAAGGAGAGGACTTACTCCTTCACAGTCCTGCTTCACCTCTTTCAGATGCTAACAGCTAGGAATTTCCATAGCAAACTCCCAGCTATTTCAGGGACCTTGGACACTCCCAGGAATTTTCCTTTCTCCTGTTATTTTTTTCTGTGGCCCATTATAGTGCTGTTATGGGCCATTAGTATTTTGCTGTATAAACAGGCCATTCTGAAATGTTGTGGAGCATGCAGTGTGTACAGACTCAGAACAGTTTTCCATGGGACTTTCTGGACTCAGTATCTTTTGTATGATTATGTGCAGTAGTATGTAGGGATACAGCCCATCATTTCTCAGTCTCTATTTCAAACAAGATTCCTAATACAAATTTTCCTTCAGTATTCTTGCATTGAAAAAGTCCCCAGATAATTCCTGGATAAAATCTTCAGTGTTTGCCCTGCAGTGCACCCCAAAAAAAGGACAATCATCTGTGTATACAACAGCTGGCTAAAGGGACATGTTTAGGATCTGAGCAAGGTTTTAGGGTTAGTAATTTTTCCTCTTTACTTTCCCAAAAAACCAACATAAATTCTACACAGGTTTATTTTAAAAACTTTTGGGCAATGTAATCTGTGAAGTAAGAATAGCCAATTCTAAATTCTGATTTTTGTTGATGTGAACACTCTTTGTATTTTCGACACTGTGAAAATGTCTTTTCTGGATAGATTTATTATCATGTTTTTAATACATTGAAACAAGGAGCAGCTGCTAAGGAGGAGGGGAGGCACCAGGGGAGCAGTCTACCAATTTCAGCAAGAGAAGAACATTTTTTTTTTTTCTTTACACTTCTCCCCTCTTTCTTAGTGCTCCTACTCCCTTTACATTCACTCCTGGATAGAGGTAGGAGTTCAGTCTCCAGACTGAATCAGTTCTTTCTGCCTTCACTGAGGCTATCAGCAGAGCAAGGTTAAATGTCACAACAATGGTTTTGGGTTGTGACTAGCTCTTCTATCTGCACTTGCTTGATACAAGCAGGCTTGTAGCCCATTTCCCCTTTATCCTGCTCAATGCAGCATACACACTGCAGATCACTAAAGCTGGGATTACTTAGCTTTACAAAGCTTCCCTAAAATGACTTGTCTCTCTCCCTGTCTCTCTCCTAAAAGCACTACAAGATCTCTGAAACCCTGTCTTTTGTCTAAGTGTGCTCAGAGGAAAAAAAAAATCTATATTTTTAAGACCTCTTTTCTTCTCACTTGTTTTACATCTGCCACCAGTTATCTGTATGAACAAGGCATGGCAAAACACTAATAAGAAAGAGTAACCCCATACTGATAAGATGGCTACTAGCTGATCTGCCTTTACAGCATCTTCCAACTAGCTCTACCCATCAGTGACTGGAGTAACAAAATGGCTGGGAGTGTCTCAAGGGATTTAGCAAATTCCAAGTGGATCAGCAACCACATATAAGATGGTCTAGTACTGGTGGAAATTACAGTTTTCAGGTGGGACAAGAAATGAACTCCCTACTGAGCTATTTTCCACAAGAGTAGAGACTGTTACAGTGTCTGTACCACTTCTTGCCAGATGCTAGTAACATTCTGTCTTAGAAATTTCCCAAGCATTCTTCATTTGTAGAAACAATCCTCTCTTCTTTCTCCCTTAGGCTCCTGCTAAGTAAATAGTAGTTACTCTCATGGGGGGAAATTTACCCTGTGTGTGGAGCAGAGAGTATACTGGAAATAGCAAGTGTCAACCATGCTGTTTGATGGAATGATGAAACTTGTTCCTGTTGCTTAAATGGCATCATTCCTATGTAGGAAACTATAGCCTAATGGTGGAGTATTAATCTAATGACAGGAACTTCTCATCAGCTTAGAAATCAATGTATGGTTGACAAAATAACATCTAGACCTGGCCTCTTGTTCCCCCTTAAAGTTTTAAGTTTACTTCAGCTTTTGAAGCAAACCCATTCTGCTGGAGGACTGCCCAGTCTTGATTTGGCTTGCCTCTTTCTCTGGATTCCTGCCACATAAGAGATGTTTTAGCTACTTTGGTTGTGTTTTAGAAACATGGAAAATGTGGCTCATATAAGCTTATGATAATGGATTACTGGACTTTTCAGACTGATGTTGTGTTTTGTATTCTGCATTTCATGCTTAAGAATTTCCCTTGTGTAAACCTCACCCCTATTGTTTCTTTGCAAAGAGAAATCCTTTGGAGAGGGGACAGGATTTACCAAGAATAGGAAGGGAGAACGGTTTGCCATGAAATGTGTGACATATTCTGTACCTCACTGGAGCGTTGCAGCAGAATCCTGTTTTGCTAATGTCTGATATCCTCTTTTGCTGTACTTTTGGCTAATGTTTGTTAATGCTTAATCACCAGTCTCCACTCTTTGAACCATCTCATGGCTTGTTGAGGTTCACTGACCGTCACATTGCAGTCCACAGCCACTTTGGTTTTGTAACATCAGAGGGAAGAGAGCTGTAGGACAGAAGCACTTCTTACTGGCAACTTCCCACCTGAGAAGTGTCATGACAGGGATTGGACTATATTTCATGCCCTTCCATTGATTTCTGTGCCAGGCAGCCATGGTGACTGTAGCCATACTTATACCAAAGTTTTCCTCTTCTTCCAGGGGAAAAGAGAGGCTGGAAAAGAACCACATAGATGAGCTACCTTTGGAGCTGTGCTATGGCTGCTGCTCAGCTGAGGGCCTCTGGACTGAGTCTCTCACTTCAGTGCGACCAGGTGGTTCTTGATACCTGCTGCACAGGGCTGCATGGGATTTGCTTGTGGGAATGAGGGGAAATGGTTCATTCTGTACCAGGCAGGGTAGCATCAACAGGAATTAGAGGAAAACTTGTGCATAAGAAGGAGGCAGGAACAAAAAGTGTATTTCTTAGGAAATACTGCTAGTCACATTAGCAGGATCAAAATAAGTCATGTGGACAAAAGGCAGTAATGGGACTGTTTCTACTACAAATTTCCCTGTAGTTGCTTCACAGATCAAGAGACCTTCAGGATTCATTCCTTGGAACAATAATGTGGAGTCCTTCTCCTTGTGATTGTAGCAGTGTGAATCAGGAGCAAGTCTTTGGAAGTCGGTGCACCTGACATAGTAAAACAGAGGATGAAGGCATATAAATGCATGAGCTAGGACAGGGAAGACTCAAACATAAACTGAAATGACTGACACAAGAGACAGTAAGAGTGCAATTCCTTCCTACATTAGTATTCAGCTGACCTTTAACTTTAGGGAGAATTACTATGTGAGGACTACTCTGCCCTGTATCCATTTTGGCTCCTGGCTGCTCTGCACCATCAGCCAGCAGGAGAGCTGCTGTGAAGTGCCTGGAATCAGGGTACCCAGCAAGGCACCCTGCTCTTGTCCCAGCATGTACCAAAGGATACCTATGGCAGCATGAACAGCTCTGAAGGAGCAGCCAGGGATTGGTGAAACCCTTTCCTTACTAACCCTGAGGACAGGCAAGGACTTGCAGGGATGTGTCCTGCTTAGCCTCAATTGCTAGTTCCCATTTCTCTCAGTTCTGGATAACTGGCTGCTGAAGTTGAGGCTATTTCTAACCTCTTGGAAAAAATTTGACTTCCGCTTTCTATCTAATAATATTGGAACTGATCTTTTTCCACTGTTGTGCGTGGCAAGGCCGGCCAGTGCAGCACAGAGCAGAGCTATGTGTTCACAGAGCACCCAGGAGTGAGCCCAGGACAGCTAACCCAGCTGGTTCTGCTTCCATGTGCAACATATGCCATTGCAAAGAGAGGGTTTGTGATGTTTGTAAGCTCTTTTTGATGCACACAACAGAGGTGATATCCTCTTTTCCACAAAATATATACTATCCTAACCTGTAGCTTTGCTTAATTTTCTATCAACAGCTTCAAGAAGACTTGGATGTAAAGTGTCCACTTTTAATCCTCTGCCTGCAGGAGTTGGAGATGAGGCTTGGAGGACAGACAAAGATACAAAACCCCTACTTGTTCTCCATCTGCAGTTGTCACTTCCTCCTCTTACCAGGTCAGGAGATGTCTACATTTCATTTCCAGTTATAATGGAGAAGGTCTGCTAGTATTTTTCCATTGACTGCATTAATTTTAGAGAGCAATCCTGTAATTTTGTCATTCACTGTGAGCTTCTGTTCCCTCTAGTGGTGGCTGGGCTCTGCGTAAGCCATAATATATAGGCTGTTTTAGGTCTGAACATATATTCAAGATCTGATTTATCCTCAGTCTTCGTTGTTCATCACCAATATTCACTGAGAGAAGTAGGAGACATTTAATCCAAACTCTGGAGTTTGGAAATAGTCCTTGTGTAGGCCTGAACTTCTCAGGACCTTGTGTGCCAAGTACCAGTCCACCAGCAGGTGTCCCAGAAGCCCACTGCTTTTCAGCCCAGCAGGCACAGGATCTCTCCTACCTGGTCCTGCATCTTCTGAAGAGCCGTACAGATGCTCTGCCACAAGCAGAATGCAGCACCAAATACAATGCACAACATACAGATGAAAAGTGTGTGGCTTGCAGGACTGGGTGTGCTGGAGCCAGGATCTTCACCTCACCACGTGGACACACGTCTTGCAGGAGCTGAGGAGCCTGCTGTTGCCTTGGTGACTGGAGCCGGCTCTGTCAGCACAGCCAGGAGAGCTTAATCCAGTATAGTCCAGAGGATTAAGAATGAGTTTCTGCAGCATAGCACGAGAAGGGGTGAGTTCAGGGATGACATCAGGCAGATATTATATTTTGTGTCATGTTTAGCCAACACAGGACTATTGGGTTGAGACAGCTGCTTATAATTCCCCAGTGCTGCAAAGAAAGCTTTATCTTTCTCATATTCCAAGAGACCTTCATCTTTGACATGAACAAGAACTCCATTGGGGACTACCAGTTCTCTGTTAGCAATACCACCAGCAGACAGTAACTTCTCCAGCTCTTGCAATGGAAATGAAACCTCTGTCTAAAGGAAAAGCAGCAATAATGTTCATGATAAAAGCACAGGAGCATGTGCTAGCACCATCTAGCCAGCATCCCCATCATTGCAGCACCAGCTACTTCTTTCTCCTCCTTTTTACATCTTTGAGCTCAATGCAAGTAGTTATCCTCTGTTTTCAGCTACAACTCTTACTTACTGTCTTATATCCTTTGTCCTCTGGCATTACTGCACATCGTCCCCCACTTCTCATTGTCTTGCAGGGAGAGGCTGAGAACTTGCAGGAAAGCCATTGATTATGCCCCAGCATGTGGGAGAGAGGATGAGATGTTCTGGTGGTATCCCAAACCTAAGATCCTCTGACAAGGGTGAAGCCAATGTATTCCTGCATTCTGCTTCCAATATGGGCCTGAAATCATGTGCAAATTGCTACGGTGCATGCAGTGGGGAAGCTCTACCTCGACCCAAGGCACGGCCCTAAAAGCAGGGAGTGGTGGAGTCACTTCTGCCTGCTGTCTCCTGTTGTGGCAGCGCCAGGTACGGGTCAGCTGGACCCAGCTGTCTCACTTCAAATCCATGCGTCCAAAGCAGCGGGGGAGGAGCCAAATGAGCAGCAATTATTTACCTGAGGCAAGTAATCCCCGAGGACTAGGCAGTGCTGTGGGGCCAGACATCCTTGCACACTATGGAGAGCAGTGCCCTGTTTCATGCCATGGGGCCTGTCCTGGCAGCCCATTCTGCCTTGGAGCTGATCTCCTGGTCTGCTTTTCCAGGCTGTGCTGTGCCTGGGTGGTGACGTGGAGGCAGCACAGCACTGTGTGAGCGAGGGCAGGATTTCCCTACAAGCCCTAGGTCCTCGTCCCCGGCGTGTGAAGGTCGCCAGCTCCTGGGTAAATTTCCATGGGATGCGGCACTCTCCCGCTGCGACTCAGCATTTCTGACAGCCGGCTGCAGCTCCTCTTTCTCATTTGATCATTTTCTTCATGAGAGAACTAACAGCCGTTACTACAGTGATTTGGCCACTGTCCAACAGTGTGTATATTACTCACACATTTCCCTGCTAGCAAAAGGGGCTTTTTTCCACTGTCTGGTAGCAGCCTCTTCCTATCTTCATCATTAGATAGCTCAGAAGGTCAGTGCTAAAACAGAAATCTTGGAGGTTTTTTTTACAACCCAGAGTAAGGGAGGGCCAGTGCTGGGGGAGAGGGAAGGGATAAGAAGGAATGGAGGGCATGCCCAACTGAATTAATTCTTCACTGGGATTGTCTCTGGTACAGCCTGAAAACACGATCCTGGAAAATGTAATATTTATAGAAACTGTACTGCCCTGGTTGGGTAAATCTCAAGGTCATCTGATGATCACTGCAAAAGGACTGGCCAGATACTGCTGCTGTTGCCCTGGCATCATGAGACCGTAAGACATTCAATTCAGGACTGAAATCTGCATACAAAATGGGATCCTACTCCCTCTCCCTAACAACCATCTCTCCTGAAACTGCCTTAAGAAGGAAATGAACAGCCCAGCAGCGAGGAGGTTCAAAATGCCTGCATGGCTTTTTTTTTTTTTTTTTTTTTTTTTTTTCCATCTTGTTGAGAACATTAAACTATTAACTCTAATTCCCTCAGAGGCAGAGGTCTGCAATTCATTTCACATATAGGGCATCTCAGGAGTTTGCCTGAAGGACCAAGTGTTGGCCTGAAGCCAGTTCTTTCATTTCTGAGCCCTTTCCATTCCTTGAGGAAATTCTGCATGGACTTGCTGGATGCCAAAGTCCCCGGAGAGAAAAGAGGAGCAGAGGGTTTGTATTTTTCACCATATCTGCACAAAGTCCTGGCCTCATCATCATGTGGACACAATCCTTCCACTGCCCCCAAAAGTACTAAGAAATTGGTGGTAATGGGGATATGTGAGAGCAAGACCATGACTGCAGCTATTTCAATCTGGTCCAAACACTTGTGCAGATCTAAAGAATGAGGGTTCTCCATTGGAGGAAGTGGAGTCAAGGAGGCACTGTCTTGAGGCAGATACCCATTTCTGAAAGTTTAAAAAATTCTCCCCTTTCAAAACATTAAAAGCAAACTAAATATGACCTCTATACAACCTTCCTGAATTGTCTTTCCTGAGCACAGAGCAACATCTTCCCTAGTGTTTTCTGTTTCTGAAATATTTTCTCCAGTGGGGATGCTTGCTAGTCTTTAAATTTTGTGTGTGGGGCTAATAGAATAACTTAGGATAATTATTCATATCTTCAAGCATTTATTCAGCTGTTAACCAAAATACTTGATTGCAGTAGCAGTATTTTAACCAATGCTGCAATGCAAAGCAGGAATTAAAAAAAAAAAAAAAAAGACTGTATAACAGTGGTCTGCAATAAGAATAATCATGTTGCAACTGAAACAAGGGGCATGCAAAGCATACAGCAAAGGTGAACTCTCAGAAGAGTAAAAGCCATGAAAGACACCTTTTTGCTGTTCATGATCTTGGGCCAGATTCAGCTAGGCCACAGCAATGCATGTGCACAGCTGTACTGGAGCACGTCCTTCGGTGCTGGCTCAGGGAAGGCTGGAGGGCTCCTGTGAGCACCTCCCAGCTCCCAGCCCTGCAGCACCCCAGAGAGCCTGGTCTGCTTGTCTCCATGGAAATACTGCAAATGCCTCCTGCCTGTCAGGCTGCACTGAGGTGGATTTAAGCCTGCTATGTACTGTCTGGGTGAGGAGTCAGTTCTGGTGTAGACTTCATTAACAGGTAGCTGGCCAGGAATACCCAGCTCAAGGGAAGTTATGGGAAAGCGCTGTAAGACAACAGTTCTGAGCACAATGGCTAACAACCTGAACCTAAGCCAAGTTCAATGGCTCATTAAACTCAGGTGACAGGATTTTGTGGGTCAAAGGGTAATGGATGAGGAAAAATCCTTAACTTAATGATTCAGGTGAAGGTGAAGACTTTATGCGAACAAGTAGTGCTGTACATAAACATGTTCAAATATGAAAGTGAGATAGGGCAAGACAGTTTAAAGCATTTGACCTCCAAATTCCCAGATCAAACCTCCCTGCTCTAGGAAGGAAAAATTACATATGGATTTAAAAGTGAGTGCTATAGGGAGACCAGTGGTTGCTTGTCTCTCTGAAGATTAAAGGCTGGGAAGGGTATGAATTCCTAGCCTAGGATGGTCTGTCTTGCTAGGACTTGTGTGAAATTGAATCCACTCTGGGGAATTCACGCCAGAAAGGCTGCAGCTAATACACATGACATTCTCAGGGATTAGAAAAATGATTTTTCATGGGCCAAATTACTTTAGAGACTCTAACACTGTCATATCAAGGTGAATCCTATTATGTATCTGGGATAGATATGAAAGCACCACTGGGGTATGGAACGTCGAGGTAGTTAACTTGCATGGGAAGAGATGGTTGAATGCATCAGTGGGAGAGAGACCTGTGTGTACCCTGTTTGTCTTGATAAACTTCAAAATTTGGGGCAGAGAACACAGGCTGAGCACAGTCTCTTCCTTGTGCTCAGTGTTGTCTTAGCCATATTCTGGAGAATATAAGGTTGGCTTTTTTAATCAGTGAGGCCAGCTCAAAGAGGCAAAGTGTCCATTATGCATCCAAAATAAACCTCCATTAGGAACTCTATGCTGTTCCTCAACAGATGTTTTTAACTTTTCGTTGAATGCTTTCAAAAGGAAAATATATTGCCCGGGTCTCACAGCTACCTTGATGATTACTGCAATGCTGAGGCATCAGGTGTCTTCAGATGGCCTCACAGAAGTGTCTGGTAAACAAGAAAGACAAAGCTGTAGCTCAGACAGTGTGGAGGCCTTTGTCTGTTTTTTTTTTTCCTCTTATTTTTTAATGGTTCTTGTTGAAGAAGAACTGTAGTGTAGTCATTATTATGCTTATGCCCAACACATGTAATGGAGGCATGAGTAAAATTCTCTTCTTAGGTCTTGATCTTTGGCTGTAGCACCAACTCCACAGTCATTTTCTCCTGCTGGATGTAGGATCAATAATAAGTATATACATTTTTAACACTAGAACACCCATGCTCAACAGGCCCTACAGGGAGTGCACAGGTTAGGGGCTTGTCAGGTAAGAGGAACATAATCTATTCATTCACTCCCTCTAACACTGTTTTATGCCTTTTAAATTATGAAAAAGACACAAGAGTCTCCGCCTCCTTGCACATTTTTGAAAGAACTCCAAGCAGAATGACCTCCTTCTCTGTTCCCTTGGTGAGAGGACAGCCTTCTGCCTACAGTGAAAGGAAGAAAATACTAGCATCTGCTAGTCCAGGGGATGTTTTTCAGCAGTGGAAGCTTACAGGTTTTGCCTGGTATTTTCCCTCTTCCTAAAGCACATGTTAACAATTTTGACCTTTCTAGTTATTTGATTCCAAAAACAGTGTTGCAGCAGCTGAGCCCTAAGATACCATTTGGAAGATTATCATCACTCTGAAATCAAAGCAAGCAGCTGCTTGTTCAAGCCTGTGTGGAGATCCCCTCACTCATGCAGATCCTCCTCTCATCTCTCAGTGTCCTCAGCCCTGGGCCTGCTGTCAAGAGGTTCCAGTCTGCTTGGCCAATGTAAAGGATAAATATGCTGCCAATTCTCTGCATTTGTGTAGTACAAAAGAGCTGCAGGAGAGCCAAGCTGGTTGAATATACTAAAGGCATCCTTGTACGCAGGTGCCTAGGATAGAGGGGGCAGAGTCTATAAAAAATTTTGTTCATGGTGTGCAATTAGTTGAAAGGACACCTAGGCTATTTGCAGATAGATCAGAAAGTGTTCCCTTATTGCCTTAAGCAGAAGCTGGCTCACACAAAAGCTCTCCTTCCAGATCTGCATTTTCTTGGCTCCTCCCACAGTGTGAATAATCCCTAACATTTCCATGACTCAGTGGATTTGCTATGGAAATCATGGCAATATTTTCAGAGTCATAGTCTAATACCTGAGCCCCGACAGGATTCATGCCCCCACATCTCTGGCATTTTGCATAGTTATGTAACGCCTCTTACTCGTGGCACTGAAAAGGAGTATGTCCGAGTAGTGAGGAACAAGTGAAATTTGGAGTAAAATCCAAACCTCCCTTTCCCTCACTCTTGAAAACCTTATCATTCATGTTTGCATATGTAAATTTTTTTAAAATGTGATTTGCAGAGAGCTTGCTCTCTTGGTGAGAACAAGAGGGTCACAATTTTATTTTCAATTTCTTCCTTTTGCATGGCAAATTCAAGTTACAGTGTAGAAAGAAAATCTGATCAGCTACTTCATGAGACTAACATGAGCATCTACTTTCATTTGCTGTTTTATCCCCTTTTCTCCTGGTCCCCTCCTCCCTGTTCCCTAAATGCTTAATAAGAACAGTAGCTGGGAGGCCAAGTGTGTAAAAAAAGAGCAAGTAATCTCATCCATACAACCCCCTAAGCCCACAGCTGTGTTTCTTATATCAACTGAATATAAAGCAGCTGTCCTCAGAAAACTGATAATAAAAATCATGTGAGAGGCTCACTGTTCTGTACAGAGCAGTAGCTGTCCTCAATGCAGTTTCTGGTTGCTCCTTTATGCAAAATATCTCTTCTGCTGTGTGTGACAGAGGTTATTCTTCCAGGTTA